GTTGGTGGAAATGTAAATTAGTTCAACCATTGTGGAAAGCAATGTGGAGGTTCCTCAAAAAACTAAAAATAGAAATACCATTTGACCCAGGAATTCCACTCCTAGGAATTTACCTGAAGAAAACAAGATCCCAGATTCAAATACACATGCACCCCTATGTTTATTGCAGCACTATTTACAATAGCCAAGACATAGAAGCAACCCACGTGTCCATCAATAGATGAATGGATAAAGAAGAGGTGGTACATATACACAATGGAATGTTATCCAGCCATAAGAAGAAAACACATTCTACCATTTGCAACAACATGGATGGAGCTGGAGTGTATTATGCTGAGTAAAATAAGCCAGGTGGAGAAAGACAAGTACCAAATGATTTCACTCATTTGTGGAGTATAACAACAAAGTAACACCAAAGAAACAAAACAGCAACAGACTTAAAGACTCAAGAAGGGATTCGTGGTTACCAAAGGGAAAGGGGGTGAGGGGTGTGGATGGGGAGGGAAAAGGGGATTAAGGGGCATTATGATCAGCACACATAATGTATGGGGGGGGCACGGGGAAGGCACAGAGAAGACACGTAGTGACTCTATAGCTTCTTACTACACTGATGGACAGTGACTGCAATGGGGTGGGGAAGACTCAATAATATGGGTGTATGTAGTAAACCTCAATGTTGCACTTGTGAAACCTTCAGAAGATTGTATATCAATGATACCTTAATTTAAAAAAGGTCACAAGAGTGCACACTACTGAAGTTATAGAATACCAACCCAAAGTGCTGCTGGAGTTCAAAGAAAGGTGGTGTGACCTTGGGCTGGATGGTCAAAGAAGGCTTCCCAGAGTAGACGCCACTTGATAAGCCCATCAAGAAGGAGGGGAAGTGGGGAGTATATTTCAGGCCACAAAAGATGAGAACTTTAAGAAAAGCCATACATATCATTATCATTATTGTCCCTCTCTGTCTCTGTGATTCTCCTGCTGTGTCCCCAACACCTAACCCAGGACTGGTAAGCCCTCCGTCAGAGGAACGGACAAACCAGTTCTGAGGTTTCCCTTGATCTCTCATGGTCCCCAGGAACATTAGGTGGCCTTGCCTCTTTTAATATGATAAGCACACATGTAATTAAAATTTTTCCAGTAGCCCCTTAAAATCATAAAAGAAAACAGCTTAAATTATTTTGAAAGTATTTTTATTTAACCTGACATATCCAAAATGTTATCATTTCAACATGCAATCAATACAAAAATTTTGAATGAGATATTTCACATTCTTTTTTTTTTGGTACCATCTTTGAAACCTTGTGCATTTTACACTTACGAAACATCTCACTATGGATGGGCCACGTTTCAAGTGCTCAACCACTATATGTGACTTGTGACTGCTACATAGGGCAGCATAGCTCTAGAGCTTTGTCCCAAGTGTGGTCCGTGGACCAGTGGTTCCAGCATCACCTGTGAGCTCTATAGAAATGCAGGATCTTGGGACTTGCCCAGACATGCTGAATCAGAACCTGCATTTAACATGCTGGCAGGTCCTTTGCATGTGTGTTGAAGGCTGTGAAGCCCTGCTCTATCTAGATCTAGGTCATGAGCTCCTTGGCATAAAAGACTGTGATTTAACTTATTTCTAGCACTTAACAGAGGGCCTGGCATCTAGAAGGCACACAAAAGAGGTTTTTGGAGGAAAAGAATGAACGCATATGAATCCTGCCTGCCCCTACCCACTCCCCTTGGTACCATGTTCCCAATGGGTTGTTAGTAGGATCTCAGAATCTTAGGTCAGAAAAGTATTTAGGAGTCCAAGAAGAAATATGTTTTAGAGCTAATAGAAAATTTAAAGTTTCTGTATCCTGAATCCTTTGAGCCCCAATTTAGGTTAAGTATCTCAGCTTGTTGGGCACAGCTGGCCCCCTTCTTTCAGGAGGAAAGTGGTGTGATGAGGTCACATCATTCCACGCCAGCGCATGTTGCTGGGCCTGCCTGACTCCTCAGACATCTCTGTACTCTTCCTCAGAAATTCTATGGAGCCATTGCTCCAAGTCCCTAGGCACATACACTAGGTATTTATTCTCAAATTTCTTCCAGAAAAGATTTAAGGCAGGTATAAATATGCATAGATTTCAATAAAATGAAATAAAAATAGAAAAAGTATCAAGTATACATAAATATATGGACAAGGATGTTCACTAAGTATTACATATGATAGTGAAAAGTCAGAAACAACATAAATATCCAACAGTAAGGGAATATGTAAAAAAACTATGACCCATCCAAACATTGAAATCTATGTCACAAGAATGCAATGTGGAAGTATTCATTGACATGGGAAGATATTCATTATACAGTGTAAGAGTATTGATGAACTTAATTTGTTTACATGCATGGAAGAATGTCTGGAAAGGATCTATATCCCAAAATAGTAATGTTGCTTTTTCAGGGGGAGGGATTATGAGTGACTCTTGTTCTCTTTTTGATCACCACTGCCTCTGTAATTTCTGTTTTTTTCTCTCAGTGAGCATGCATTCTTATATAATGCAGTAATAACATATACAAAATAGAATATGATGAGGAAAATGAGAAAAGAAGAAAAAAGGAGTTCTGCTCTGTATAGAATTTATTTGAAAATTTTTAAAAATCCAAGTACAAGTTGATAGTGTTGCAGCCCAGTGGCTGTATTTACATGTAGCAGACGATTATTAAATGTTTGAGAGATAGATTTACAACACAGGGGTTTAAAAACTCATGAGCCAGCTTTTGTTAAATTTCAGTCTGTGTTCAGGGAAGTGAAAATTACTAATGGTGCAGTCTCTGTCTTGTTTTGAATGGAATCCCACGGTGACCTTCCCTCCACATGCAGGACCTAAATAGCTTGTGTATGTTGGATAATGACTGTGGGAGAGAGAACCCTAAATCATGTGTTAGAGCTGGGTGGGTGGGTGGGAATGTTCATATGTGCACACACACGTAGAATCTAGCACAGGACCACCACTCTCCACCTCCAGCACCAGCACTTCGGTCTGAGCCACCAGCACGAGATGCCTAACTGGTCTCCCTCCTTCCACCCTGTGGCCTATTCACTACCCGTTGGTAAGCCGTCCTCTCTATGACCTGGCCCACCTCTCAGATCTCATTGCCTATACCTCGGCCCTCACCTGCTCCACTCCAGCCGCACTGGCCCTTTCAGTCTCTTTGCACCTCCCTGCTGGAACATTCTCCCCCCGCAGTGTGACTTGCTTCCTTACCTCCTGTGGCCTCTGTGGAATTACCAGCTGATTCATAAGGTCTTCCTCAACCACTCTGTATAAAATACAACCCTAATCTGCTCCAGCACCTTATTGTCCTACTTCATTTTTCTTCATAGCACTTACCTCCCCAACATAGTACATCTTTACCTGTTTACTGTTTGTTTTTCTCCTCCAGAATGGAGGGCAGGAAGTGTGTCTCTTTTCCTTATTGCCCTTTTCTTAGTACCCAGTGCTCTAAGTAGGTGCCCAGTAAGTATCTGAAGGAAGGATTGGGTTTCAGATATCATGTGTTTGATCTTCCTCATTTTACCAATGAGGTGCCTGAGGCCAACTGAGAAAGCGTCCAGCCTTGCCCAGCGTCACACAGCTGGGGCAGCAGGGCTCGATCCTGCCTACTCCACCCAGCTCCATTTCCCGCCTGAGCCTCGGAAGGGACATGAACCACACGGGGGCCGTGGCCTTGTCCATCCTGTCTCCTGTGTGTTTTTCCAGTTTATACAGAATTTCAGCCCAGAATAGCAGAACAAAAAAAACAGTTGTTCCTCCAGAACCCTGGAAATTCTTCCGGTGGGTCGGTCCCTGGAAAAACAGCAGCGATCTCAGGGTGGGAAGGTAGGAAACAGAGGAGGGGGTCTTCAGTAGTGGGGGCAATGGGCTGGATTTGGTTTTGCAATTAAAATAACATCTGGGTTTGTTTCCACAGAGTGGTTCTGGAAGGTGGGTGGTCTGTCTGAAGTATCAGGTGGGGCCTTTCCCCTGTCCTAGCCCAGGAGGGTTTGAACTGGTGGATGACTGAGGGGCTCACCCAGAGATGATGTATGAGAGAAACTGGGCCCTAAGAAGCCTCTAGAAACCCCAGTTGGAGCCTGGCCTGAAAGCCTGCTGTTCCCTAGCCCAGCATCACTAGAGGGCATCTCCAGACACCTTCCCCTACACCCCCTTAAGATTGTTCAGACACCCCCCTTTGATGTGCACAGAGCTCTGACCCTCTCCCTTCATGCCCCATGTGGTTTGTTAATCGTCTGTGAAATGAGGGATTTGAGGCACTGCTCCTCCGTGTGAGGAGGTGGGGCCTTGGAGCAGGGGAGTGGAGCGGAGAAGGGACTCTGAAAGCCGGTCCAGGCTTCTAAATCCTGTTCCTCTGTCTGTCTTCTCAGATGCAGCTTTTGGATAAGTTTCCCATTGAAGGTGGCCAGAAAGACCCCAAGCAGAGAATCATCCCCTTCCTCCCAGGTAAGCTTTGAATGGCCCCACTGAGGGCATAGGGGCAACCTGGGGAGGGCCATTCCTTAGACCAAGAAAAGGCTGGCTACTGTGCCACAAACTCTGGGCAGGGTGGGCCTAGGAATCTGTATATTAACAACTCCCCAGGGTACAGGAAGCCCCTGGTTTTGAAGGCCACTGCCATCACAGAGGCTTATCCCACCATTCCAGGGCCACCTGTGCTCTTCCTGGGCCATGTAACCTCTAAGGAGTTTCTTAGGCTCTGGGACTTTGGTTTCCTTTTTACAAAAAGCACAGAGAGATCTGATTCTCCTATGAAAGGATGAAGACTAGCAGGCTGAATTCTTTCCTCTGATTCCCACTGTAATCATAGAGACCCTTAACTTGAACACACTCCCCATGTCCAATCTAGGATCCTCCTGGCACCATTATCTGGCTGAGGCTCTGACACATTGCATAACATGGCTTGTAAGCTGGCAGAGCCAAGCCTTGAACCTGGCTCTATCTGGCTATAAAGGCCATTAACCACTACAACATTTTGGAACATGTTTAAGGCAATTGATTATGTTGTGTAATTTAGAAGAAAATTTCTCAGGTGTATTAGGAACAGCTATTACAATGATGTCGTAATTGGTGTAAGGATTCATAGCTTAACAAAGTGCTTTTATATTTGTTATTGAATAAAAATCTCCATGCTGAGATATGTATTTTAATTTCTGAATCCTGTTCCCCTGTCTGGAGGGATGAAAATGTTGGGGCTTAGAGATGGTAAGTAACTACTCATAAAGGTGTAGAGCTGAGGTGTGAACTCTGGTCTTCTGCTCCAATCCAGGCTCTTTGCTCTGAACCCTGTGGCCTATGCTGCCTCCTGGCTTCCGGATACTCTGCCATTCCCCAGTGCCAGTGGGCTGGGCAGATTCCCAGGGTAGCTTCCTTCACTGTGTGCTTCCTCCTGCCTCCCGGTTACTGCTGGGCCCTGAACAGTGGCCATCAGTGGTACCTTTGCAGGAAGTAGGGCATGCGTCTCATCACTCCTGGGCATGATGTCTGTCAGTCCTACTTGTTAACTTCAAAACATACTTGGGACACCTCCCCCAGAGAGCAGTTTCTCTTAGAAAGGTGCTCCACACATACCCCCATCCACAAAGGCAGTGCAAGACCAGAGCATGCATTGCTGTCTGTCCTCTGAGTCTTATGTTAAAGTTGGAGAGCGTTAATTTAGCCACCAGGAAGAAATCCATCCTACAGTTTGGACAAGACCAGAATCGCTTGGTGAGGCATAGAGAATCTTACCCCCGGGTCCTTCCTAGGAGGCAGAGGACTGCTTCTCCATCCCCGGCATAGGAATTAATGTGGGGGACTTTTGTGCCCTGACTAGCTTTGCACTGAATCTCGAGGGAATCTGAAATGTCCAATACCAGGTTTGTATGACCCTAGATGTTGCTGTAGTACAGTTCATGTGCTCTGCCCACCAAGGACCTGTGAGCTGGGACACCAGGGACACAAGTGTCTCAGAGCCAACATTGAGCCAGTGCAATGCCCTGCTGCCAGGGTGGCCCTGGCCTGGTGGCATGAAGGCTGCCCTTTACTCAAGGGCAGGCTTTTCCTCATGGCCAGTGCTCCAGGGAAAGCGCACCCCACCTTCATTCAGTTGGCGGGCATTTATGAGGCTCAGCCTGTGCCAGGCCCAAGAATAAGTGTCTGGGTGGCCTGGTGAATCAAGGGGAGACCTGGAGTCTTTCCTTTCATCTGAGGAACCCTCGAGCTAGTGAGAGAGACAAGACCTACTCCCTAATCAGAGGACCAGTTAAGGCAGGAAGTGACCCTCTCTACCACTGTGGGACTGGTGGAGTTCACTGTGGGCCGAGGAAGGCTGTGAAGGCCTCCTGAGAGAGGGGCCCTGAGCTGACCTCAGAGGATGAGGGGTTGGAGGGTGGGGCAAAATGCAAGGCTTATGTTCCACTGTTACCATAGTCTAGTGTCTGAGGAATCGGGCTGCTTGGCTTCCCCCCAGAAGCCCTGGCTCTGTTGGTTATCACAAATATTAACTTCTTTATGCCTCAGTTTCCTCATCTGGAAAACAGGGATGATAATAGTATCTGCTTCCTTGTAAGGATAAAATGAGCCAATGCATTTCAGCTGCTTAGACCTGTAGCTGGCTTCTAGTAGGTCCTAAATAAATCTTAGCTCTTATTATTACCAATTCCTGACATGCCTGGCATTTTACACAGAACACTCATGTATATATAAAATTGCATTCAATCCTCTCAGTGGGGTTATTATGCCCATTTTACTGACAAGGAAATTGAGGCCACGGTTGCATAATGGATTTGCACAGGCCACAAAGCCAGGAGGTATAGTCAACACTAGCCAACTCTTAACCTCTGACTTCTGGGCCAGGGCTCCCCTCCCCATCAGCGGCTGCTGTCCAGGAAAGGATAACTGAGTAGCTGCTGCAGGACTGAGGGCCTCTCTGAACTTCAGTTTCCTCTTACAAGGAAAATCCTTACAAGGATTGTGACAAGGATTAAAGGGATTCCTGGAAAGCGCCTTGCGTAGTGCCTGTCGCATGGCAAGTGCTCAATAGATGGCAGCTATTAATAAAGAAAGTCACCTGCCATCATGCCCCCCCAACTCCTGGGAAAAGGCAAGCACAGGGCCCCTTCCAGCCTCCATATAAATGTGACCTGTGCATAGGGTGACGTGGTGAAGAGGAGTGAGGTCCCTGCCCCACCCCACCCTTTTCCCCGGCTCTGCTGCCTATCTTGCCCCCCCGCCACCCCGCAGTGGGTTCTCTCCACTGCTTCTCTAGGACTTCAGATCAGATGTTGCTGGCCATTTGGAACCCCATCCTGGGGCTCCCAGGGCCTGTCTGGCCCTCCTCCTGCCCACCAGAAACTGTCTCAACCCCTTTCGTGCCCAAACCACTCCCTAACTTGGACAAGAAAGGAAAAGATCGAAGAGCAACGACCCAACACAATCAGAGCCAAGCTAGGAAGAGCCAGGTGGGCACAGGGGCTCGGACCCAGCCCACGGCCCCCAGGCAGAGGGCAGCCCCGGGAGGTGAGGGCGTCAGGGAGGGGCAGTGATGACCGCTGCCTCTTTGGGTCAGGCTCCCTGTAAGCAGAGCCTGCGGTGCAGTGCCTTTCGAGGGCTGCTCCCAGGTGGCCGCCCTAAGGCAGTGAGGGAAGCTGGTGAGGGCAGGGGAAGCTGAAGGTGGGTGTCCCCGCCCACCGGCACTGTCTTAGGACAGCGTTTATACTCCCAGTATCAGCCATCCATTGTCTGTGGGCTTCCCCGTCCCCCAGAGGGTGTGCAGCAAGGAGAGCCGAGGGCATGCCTCCAGAGAAAGGCAACCGTGAGCCCCTAGCAGCGGTGAGGGGTGGGAGCATCAGCTGCTAAGGGGACTGTGGGCAAGGCACCTGCAGCATCTGTTATTTTACCCACACCAGCTTGAGTCTCTGTTTCCACGTCCTGCCTTTGCGGAGAGCAGCGACAGTCCCCTGCCGCTTCCCCCCAGGCCCAGCCTGGCAGCAGTGACCCAGCAGATACTCAGTTTGAATACACCAAGGTAATCAGCTGCCTTCACTCTTGCAACCTCAGGGTGAGGTAGCAGCCAGCCTCCGGGGCAGCTCTGCCAGCCTCTTTCCCCGCCTGGAATTTGAGAGCAAGGCGCACCCGAGGGGAGAAAGCGGAGAGCACCCATTGTCCCCAGGAGGTTGTCAGTTTTAGCCTCGGGGATGTGGGATGTGGTGTGCAGCTCAGCTGCCCAGGTGTGGGGACTGCGGGATGCATTGGGAGCATTTGGCCGGCTGCTTTGCTTTGACCCACTTAGCCACAGGCTCATGGCTGGGGGCTCATGGGAGTGTGACTGGCTCATGGAAGTGACAGAGGAAGCAGAGAGATAGGGAGAAGAGAGGGAATCCATGGCTCGTGTGGTTATAGGCTCACTCATCTGTCAGTCTAATCCTGGCGAAAAAAAATCCTGCACATGAGCCTTAAATCTTAGGACCTATACAACAGGCTTATATGTGGTGCATGGCCTGAGTTCAGGGTCAGCCTGTGGGTTTGAAGAGTGGTGAGGGCCCAGGTTTTCTATGGCCAGGGGCAGAGGCTCCATCCCAGGAGGAGATGGTGTGTTCAGCAGTGCTGCTGGGTGTGGGTGGGAGGCTGGGAGCAGGACCTACAGGGCAGTGAGGGGGAGCCGGTACTGTTCCCAGACTGTGGTCTGACATTTCATCAGTCAAATACTGTGTAAAGGTCTGTAGGGCAACTGTTTTCACTAGGGCTGGAACCTGCTTTCTGGGCCCTGGGGCTGAGAAAGGTGGCATTATCCCATCTTAGTGAGAAGGCATTTCCCACCGCTTAGCCACTGAGTGGCAGAGCTGGGGTCCTTCCCTCCAAGCCCCAGGCCTTTCCCTGGCCAGGAGTAGCTTCCACAGTCAGGTGCGGCTACAGGTTCGGCCCTCCTTTCTTGCCTCCACAGCCCAGGCTCGGCACCTAGGAGCTCCTACCAGAGGACCCGGCACCCTGGTGGGCCTCCCGGTTGCCCCTGCTGTCTCATGCTTCAGGAGCATACTGTGGGGGTCGGGGGAGGTGACCTGGACCTGCTGGGGACTCAGGTGACCTGAAAGGGCTCTCATTCCATTGAGTGACTGAGGTCGTTGAAACTGAGTAATTGATTTTTTTTTTTTTGCAGTTAAACCATTTAGTTCATTATTATTTTAATATGGTTACAAACAGTATAGCCCCAAGGCTTTCAGAGCACTGTCTTTCTTTAATTATGAATAACAAGATTGGCTATTTCATTTTCTAAGTCACAGCACTTTTTAAAAACTGTTTATTCTGAAATACCATAGAACCACAAGGTGTTGCAAAACTACACTCTACATTCCTCCCTCCAGCCCCAGTACCCTACTGCAGGGCAGGTGGCACGATCCCCTGTTGAAGAAGAGGTCAAATCACTTTTAGCCGTCACATAGCCACTGAGTGGTGTGCCCATTGCCTAA